CACCAAAGATAGGTTGCGGTAAACACTCTGAAGTGAGGCTCCACTACACTAAAAAATAAAAGGCAAAGTGTAATGCCTGTTAATAGCTTGCCACAGGCATAGCTCAGTTAAAATAAAGCACAGCTATTGTGCAATACATTTGTATTGCATGTATATTTTTTAGTAACAATTTCAGTTAAAGCTTTTAAGAATAAATATATTTTTGTTATCTAAACGTTTGACCTCTTTATTTTACAATTTTGGAATCGAAACGGGGAATCGATAAGAACCGGAATCGATAAGCAGAACCGGAATCGAAATCGGAATCGATAAATTTCAAACGATACCCATCCCTACTCCTCTGTCCTCCTCAGGCTGCTCTGCTCTCCTCAGCCTGCTCTGCTCCTCTGTCCTCCTCAGCCTGCTCTGCTCTCCTCAGCCTGCTCTGCTCCTCTGTCCTCCTCAGCCTGCTCTGCTCCTCTGTCCTCCTCAGGCTGCTCTGCTCCTCTGTCCTCCTCAGGCTGCTCTGTCCTCCTCTGTCCTCCTCAGGCTGCTCTGCTCCTCTGTCCTCCTCAGGCTGCTCTGCTCCTCTGTCCTCCTCAGCCTGCTCTGCTCTCCTCAGCCTGCTCTGCTCCTCTGTCCTCCTCAGCCTGCTCTGCTCCTCTGTCCTCCTCAGGCTGCTCTGCTCCTCTGTCCTCCTCAGGCTGCTCTGCTCCTCTGTCCTCCTCAGGCTGCTCTGCTCCTCTGTCCTCCTCAGGCTGCTCTGCTCCTCTGTCCTCCTCAGGCTGCTCTGTCCTCCTCTGTCCTCCTCAGGCTGCTCTGCTCCTCTGTCCTCCTCAGGCTGCTCTGTCCTCCTCTGTCCTCCTCAGGCTGCTCTGCTCCTCTGTCCTCCTCAGGCTGCTCTGCTCCTCTGTCCTCCTCAGCCTGCTCTGCTCCTCTGTCCTCCTCAGGCTGCTCTGTCCTCCTCTGTCCTCCTCAGGCTGCTCTGCTCCTCTGTCCTCCTCAGGCTACTCTGCTCTCCTCAGCCTGCTCTGCTCCTCTGTCCTCCTCAGGCTGCTCTGCTCCTCTGTCCTCCTCAGGCTGCACTGCTCTCCTCAGCCTGCTCTGCTCCTCTGTCCTCCTCAGGCTGCTCTGTCCTCCTCAGGCTGCTCTGTCCTCCTCTGTCCCATCCTCAGGCTGCTCTGCTCCTCTGTACTCCTCAGGCTGCTCTGCTCCTTCTGTCCTCCTCAGGCTGCTCTGCTCTCCTCTGTCCTCCTCAGCCTGCTCTGCTCCTCTGTCCTCCTCAGCCTGCTCTGCTCTCTGTCCTCCTCAGGCTGCTCTGCTCCTCTGTCCTCCTCAGGCTGCTCTGCTCTCCTCAGCCTGCTCTGCTTCCTCTGTCCTCCTCAGGCTGCTCTGCTCCTCTGTCCTCCTCAGGCCTGCTCTGCTCTCCTCAGCCTGCTCTGCTCCTCTGTCCTCCTCAGCCTGCTCTGCTCCTCTGTCCTCCTCAGGCTGCTCTGCTCTCCTCAGCCTGCTCTGCTCCTCTGTCCTCCTCAGGCTGCTCTGCTCCTCTGTCCTCCTCAAGGCTGCCTGCTCCTCTGTCCTCCTCAGGCTGCTCTGCTCCTCTGTCCTCCTCAGGCTGCTCTGCTCCTCTGTCCTCCTCAGGCTGCTCTGCTCCTCTGTCCTCCTCAGGCTGCTCTGCTCCTCTGTCCTCCTCAGGCTGCTCTACTCCTCTGTCCTCCTCAGGCTGCTCCTCCTCAGGCTCTTCTGCTCCTCAAGGCTGCTCTGTCCTCCCAGGCTGCTCTACTCCTCTGTCCTCCTCAGGCTGCTCTACTCCTCTGTCCTCCTCAGGCTGCTCTACTCCTCTGTCCTCCTCGAGGCTGCTCTACTACCTCTGTCCTCCTCAGGCTGCTCTGCTCCTCTGTCCTCCTCAGCTGCTCTGCTCCTCTGTCCTCCTCAGGCTGCTCTGCTCCTCTGTCCTCCTCAGGCTGCTCTGCCCTCTGTCCTCCTCAGCTGCTCTGCTCCTCTGTTCCTCCTCAGCCTGCTTCTGCTCCTCTGTCCTCCTCAGGCTGCTCTGCTCCTCTGTCCTCCTCAGGCTGCTCTGCTCCTCTGTCCTCCTTCAGTGCTCTACTCCCTCTGTCCTCCTCAGGCTGCTCTGCTTCCCTCAGCCTGCTCTGCTCCTCTGTCCTCCTCAGGCTGCTCTACTCCTCTGTCCCTCCTCAGGCTGCTCTGTCCTCCTCAGGCTGCTCTGCTCCTCTGTCCTCCTCAGGCTGCTCTACTCCTCTGTCCTCCTCAGGCTGCTCTACTCCTCTGTCCTCCTCAGCCTGCTCTACTCCTCTGTCCTCCTCAGGCTGCTCTGCTCCTCTGTCCTCCTCAGGCTGCTCTACTCCTCTGTCCTCCCTCCGGCTGCTCTACTCCTCTGTCCTCCCTCAGGCTGCTCTGCTCCTCTGTCCTCCTCAGGCTGCTCTGCTCTCTGTCCCTCCTCAGGCTGCTCTACTCCTCTGTCTCCTCAGGCTGCTCTACTCTCTGTCCTCCCCAGGACTGCTCTGCTCCCTCTGTCCTCCTCAGGCTGCTCTACTCCTCTGTCCTCCTCAGGCTGCTCTACTCCTCTGTCCTCCTCAGCTGCTCTGCTCCTCTGTCTCTAGGGCTCCACTCCTCTGGTCCTCCTCTGGCTGCTCTGCTCCTCTGTCCTCCTCAGGCTGCTCTGCTCCTCTGTCCTCCTCAGGCTGCTCTACTCCTCTGTCCTCCTCAGGCTGCTCTGCTCCTCTGTCCTCCTCAGGCTGCTCTACTCCTCTGTCCTCCTCAGGCTGCTCTACTCCTCTGTCCTCCTCAGGCTGCTCTGCTCCTCTGTCCTCCTCAGGCTGCTCTACTCCTCTCCTCAAGTTCCTCCACTCCCTTCCCTTCTTTACGCTGCTCTGATCCTCTCTCTTTTCCAAGCTGCCCTGCTCGCCCATCACTTGCCTTGTTCTGCTCAACTCTGCATTTAAATGTAGGATAATTAACAAAGGAACTTATGGTGAATAAATAAAATATACAAATGGCTGGTTAGGGTTAGGGTTAGGGCAGTGCTAAGTAGCAGTGATGTCTTACCTTTTAAAGAAGTCTGTAAGTTTCCTCCTTTTTGCTTCACTCATTTCTGCATCATGCCTCACTTTAAACTTTCAAAGAGAAAGGAAATAAATATATGCATATCTCAGCTTTATGCACTCACATACATAGCATCAGGCTGGGGCCAGTTATTCCATGAGAGGGGTTCAATAAAAGCGGGTTAAATTGACAAAGACAGTATAAAGTAATTTTGTAAAATAAACATAAAATACAATAATTGTTATTTGTTTTGGTAAATTTAAGTGACAATTTAATTAAAAAACATAACAGTATTTGCTTTTATAAGGTAATGAACAGTTTAATCTCCACTGTACATCCTGGTCTCTGATTTGATTTAATTCCAATAAATCGTAATATTGTAACCTTTTTTTGGAGGGGAGCCATAGGGGGGTACCTGGTCAGTGTTACGGGGGCACTGGCCCGTGTTTGCCCCCCCCCTAGAACCGCCCCTGCATAGCATGGTTTAGGAAACGGGCGCTCTGCACGGAGGAACCGCAGCAGAGTCCCGCGGGAGGTGCTGCGGTGTAAAGCTCACGATCGGAGCAGAGACACACGTTCACTGACAAAGCCGACAAACTATAGCTGGTCGCAGAGATCTGCTATTCTAAAATAAAGTCAACAATATCGACCATTGGCTGCTGTCTTTCTCTTAGTTTAAGAAACGCTTGATTTGATCCAAAGTTAGTTAAAACAAAAAAACGTTATTTAATTTAATGGTAGTCGAACGTAAAACCAGAATATCAGAGGAATTCATGTTAAGAAACCTGTCAGCGTATTACCTATTTCCTCCACACTTGTTCCCGGGTTCACCTGTCACTCTGCTGGCTGTCTGTGACTGACGGAAGAGACTGTGTGGTCGCCGATCAGCCAAGTAGATTTGAAGAAAATAAAGAAAGGGGAAACCCGCGAGAAATTTGAAAAGTGCAAGTCATCGTCGCGTCATCTTATTTATGTTCCCTACAGCTAGAAAGAGTGTTTTATTGATTTTTCGAATTATTCAGAACCTTAAACATATAGAAAGAAAAGTTTTAACATGTATATATTTTTTGTGTAAACATATGATATAGGCATGCTGCATACATTGTTAAAAATATGCGAGGGGCATGACGTCAGAGCATTTTCCTATGTGCCGGTGTTTAGCCCCGGACAGCCCGGCCCAATTTAACCCCTGGTTAAACCCACCACGACAGACAGCTGTGTGTGTGTGTTACATCCACCACGACAGACAGCTGTGTGTGTGTGTTACATCCACCACGACAGACAGCTGTGTGTGTGTGTTACATCCACCACGACAGACAGATGTGTGTGTGTGTGTTACATCCACCACGACAGACAGATGTGTGTGTGTGTTACATCCACCACGACAGACAGATGTGTGTGTGTGTTACATCCACCACGACAGACAGATGTGTGTGTGTGTTACATCCACCACGACAGACAGATGTGTGTGTGTGTTACATCCACCACGACAGACAGCTGCGTGTGTGTGTTACATCCACCACGACAGACAGCTGTGTGTGTGTGTTACATCCACCACGACAGACAGATGTGTGTGTGTGTTACATCCACCACGACAGACAGCTGCGTGTGTGTGTTACATCCACCACGACAGACAGATGTGTGTGTGTGTTACATCCACCACGACAGACAGCTGTGTGTGTGTGTGTTACATCCACCACGACAGACAGATGTGTGTGTGTGTGTGTTACATCCACCACGACAGACAGCTGTGTGTGTGTGTGTGTTACATCCACCACGACAGACAGCTGTGTGTGTGTTACATCCACCACGACAGACAGCTGTGTGTGTGTGTGTTACATCCACCACGACAGACAGCTGTGTGTGTGTGTGTGTTGTTTAAATACAAATTATACAAGAAATACCAGATTTAATATTTTCATGCTCCAACTAAACACAACAAATATAACAGTTCAATCTCTGATTAATAGATGGCTTTTATTTTGAAAATACCAGATAGTGGAAAGTTGTCTGTTCTCTGATCTTTAAAAAAAATCAAACCCCTACAAACTAAAAGTAGAAAAAGTTTCTGTGCAGTTTTTAATACCGCCGAAACATTGTGGTGAAGTCCCACGATGATGATGTCACTCCCTGATGATGATGAGGTCACTCCCCGAGGATGATGAGGTCACTACCTGAGGATGATGATGTCACTTCCTGCTGATGATGTCACTTCCTGCAGGTCTTGGAGCGCAGCTGTCTCTTGATGATCAGGTGATCGCTCTCCTTCTCTTCATTCGCTCTTCCAGACATCTTAAAAAAAGAAAACAAAAAGAAAGCTTTAAATCTTCGTCCTCTCCTTTAACGACACGATTAAATCACGATTATTTGTTAAGAGCCTGAACAGGGAACAGCAGTTAGCTGTTAGCTCTGTTTCTCTGCTAACTGCAGCTAACTGCTGCTAACAGCTAACTGCAGCTAACTGCAGCTAACTGCAGCTAACTGCTAACAGCTAACTGCAGCTAACGTCACATAGCTCTCTGTTTGATCTAAATGGATGTAGGGTCTGAGCAGTGGCTTGTTGTCGTCAGGAGGAAGTCTTTGAGGATGCTGGAAACCTGGATCATTTCTAATGAAGTGTTTCCTGGTTTCCTGCAGCTGCTCCTCTCTGTGCTTCACTTGATGCCAGAGGTGGGACCAAGTCATTGTTTTGCAAGTCCGAGTCAAGTCTCAAGTCTTTGCGCTCAAGTCCGAGTCAAGTCTCAAGTCTTTGTTTTGCAAGTCCGAGTCAAGTCTCAAGTCTTTGTTTTGCAAGTCCAAGTCAAGTCTCAAGTCAGGATGGGCAAGTTCAAGTCAAGTCCTAAACTTTGACAAAACGAGTCATAAACAAGTCATTATGTGTTTTTCACCAAATGTAATGACATCGATCAACAGAATAATACTTAATAATCAAATTGCTCTTTATTAGTCACATTAATCATTTAATAATCAATTTTCTCTCTGCTGGTAAAGTAACGTGTGTTTTTCTAATTTAAGGGGGATCAGTAAGGTAAGGCTACCGTGACGGTTTGATTCAGAAGGAGTTTAATGTATAAGATCCCTGATGTTGAGGTAACCAGAATGTTTATTTCCACTGTGTACAACATGTTGTAAGGGACCCACAATCTATCTTTATGCAAGGGATAATGTGCAGCCAGGCGGTCTCTATGGGGAAAAGAACACCTGAATCTAGATCCCTCTGCAGGTGGTACTTTAACTATATTTTGATGCTAATACTTTTGTACTTTTACTTGTAACATTTTGAATGCAGGACTTTTTATTGTACAGGGTTCCTGCAGGTTTCGCCAACTCAAATTTAAAACTTTTTAACACCACTTTGAATAGAATTTAAGACCTATTTCACGGCAATAAAGTATGAAGGAAAATGTATATACGTCCCGCGGGCCCACCACCTACGGGAAACATCGATGGGGTCGGGTGCGCTGCCAGAAGGGTGGCAGTGAAAGCGGAGGGTCTCGACGGACCAGACCCGGGCGACAGAAGCTGGCTTTGGGGACGTGGAACGTCACCTCTCTGGGGGGGAAGGAGCCGGAGCTTGTGCGGGAGGTGGAGCGTTACCAGTTGGATCTGGTTGGGCTCACCTCTACGCACAGCGTCGGCTCTGGAACCTTACTTCTGGATAGGGGTTGGACTCTATTCTTCTCCGGAGTTGCTCAAGGTGTGAGGCGCCGGGCGGGTGTGGGGATACTCACAAGTCCCCGGTTAGGTGCTTCGTTGTTGGAGTTTACCCCAGTGGACGAGAGGGTCGCCTCCCTACGCCTGCGGGTTATGGGGGGGAAAACTCTGACTGTTGTGTGTGCTTATGCACCCAACAGCAGTTCAGAGTATACGGCCTTCTTGGAGACCCTGGAAAGAGTCCTGTATGGGGCTCCTGAAGGGGACTCTTTAATCTTGCTGGGAGACTTCAACGCACATGTGGGCAATGATGGAGACACTTGGAGGGGCGTGATTGGGAGGAACGGCCCCCCTGATCTGAACCGGAGTGGTGGTTTGTTACTGGACTTCTGTGCTAGTCATGGATTGGCCATAACAAACACCATGTTCGAACATAAGGATGCTCATAAGTGTACGTGGTACCAGAGCACCCTAGGCAGAAGGTCCATGATCGATTTCGTTATCGTATCATCGGACCTGAGGCCGTATGTTTTGGACACTCGGGTAAAGAGAGGGGCGGAGTTGTCAACTGATCACCATCTGGTGGTGAGTTGGGTCGAGTGGCGGGGGAAGCCTCTGGATAGACCTGGTAAGCCCAAACGTGTAGTTCGGGTGAACTGGGAACGTCTGGAGGAGGCCCAAGTTCAGGAGGCCTTCAACTCACACCTCCGGCGGAGCTTTTCGGGCATTCCTGTGGAGGTTGGGGACATTGAACCAGAGTGGTCGGTGTTCAAAGCCTCTATTGCCGAAGCCGCGGCGGGGAGCTGTGGTCTCAAGGTCCTAGGTGCCTCAAGGGGCGGTAACCCTCGAACCTCCTGGTGGACACCGGTGGTCAGGGAAGCCGTCCGACTGAAGAAGGAGGCCTTCAGGGATTTGTTATCCCGGGGGACTCCCGAGGCAGTTGCAAGGTACCGACAGGCCCGAAGGGCAGCAGCCTCATCCGTGGCCGAGGCAAAGCAGCGGGTGTGGGAGAAGTTCGGAGAAAACATGGAGAAGGACTTTCGGGCGGCACCAAAGTTGTTCTGGAAAACTGTCCGACACCTCAGGAGGGGGAAGCAGGGAACCATCCAAGCTGTGTACAGTAAGGATGGGACGTTGTTGACCTCAACTGATGGAGTGTTAGGGCGTTGGAAGGAACACTTTGAGGAACTCCTGAACCCGACAACTCCGCCCTCTATGTTAGAGGCAGAGCTGGAGTATGACGGGGGATCAGCACCGATCTCCCGGGGGGAGGTCACTGAGGTCGTCAAACAACTCCACAGTGGCAAAGCCCCAGGGGTGGATGAGATCCGCCCGGAAATGCTGAAGGCTCTGGGTGTTGAGGGACTGTCATGGTTGACACGTCTCATCAACGTTGCGTGGAAGTCGGAAACAGTACCGAAGGAGTGGCAGACCGGGGTGGTGGTCCCCCTTTTTAAAAAGGGGGATCAGAGGGTGTGTGCCAATTACAGAGGCATCACACTACTCAGCCTCCCCGGGAAAGTTTACTCTAAGGTACTCGAAAGGAGGGTCAGGCCGATTGTCGAACCTCAGATTGAGGAGGAACAATGCGGATTCCGTCCTGGTCGTGGAACGACGGATCAGCTTTTTACTCTCGCAAGGATCCTGGAGGGGGCCTGGGAATACGCTTATCCGGTCTACATGTGTTTTGTGGACTTGGAGAAGGCGTATGACCGAGTTCCCAGGGAGTTACTGTGGGAGGTGCTGCGGGAGTATGGGGTGAGGGGGTCTCTACTCAGGGCCATCCAATCTCTGTACTCCCAAAGCGAGAGCTGTGTCCGGGTCCTCGGCAGTAAGTCGGACCCATTTCCGGTGAGGGTTGGCCTCCGCCAGGGCTGCGCTTTGTCACCAATCCTGTTTGTAATATACATGGATCGGATTTCGAGGCGTAGTCATGGGGGAGGGGGTCTGCAGTTCGGTGGACTAAGGATTGCACCACTGCTTTTTGCAGATGATGTGGTTCTAATGGCTTCATCGGTCTGCGACCTTCAGCACTCACTGGATCGGTTCGCAACCGAGTGTGAAGCGGCTGGGATGAGGATCAGCACCTCCAAATCTGAGGCCATGGTTCTCAGCAGGAAACCGATGGACTGTCCACTTCAAGTAGGGAATGAGTCCTTACCCCAAGTGAAGGAGTTCAAGTATCTCGGGGTCTTGTTCTCGAGTGAGGGAACAATGGAGCGTGAGATGGGCCGGAGAATCGGAGCAGCGGGGAGCGGTACTGCAGTCGCTTTACCGCACCGTTGTGACGAAAAGGGAGCTGAGCCAGAAGGCAAAGATCTCTGTCTACCGGGCCATTTTCGTTCCTACCCTCACCTATGGTCATGAAGGATGGGTCATGACCGAAAGAACGAGATCGCGGATACAAGCGGCCGAGATGGGTTTTCTCCGCAGGGTGGCTGGTGTCTCCCTTAGGGATAAGGTGAGAAGTTCGGTCATCAGGGAGGGACTCGGAGTTGAGCCGCTCCTCCTTCGCGTCGAAAGGAGCCAGTTGAGGTGGTTCGGGCACCTAGTTAGGATGCCACCTGGGCGCCTCCCTAGGGAGGTGTTCCAGGCACGTCCAGCTGGGAAGAGACCAAGGGGTAGACCTAGGACCAGGTGGAGGGATTATATCTCTTCGCTGGCCTGGGAGCGCCTTGGGATCCCCCAGTCAGAGCTGGTTGATGTCGCCAGGGAAAAGAAAGTTTGGGGCTCTCTGCTGGAACTGCTACCCCCGCGACCCGACCACGGATAAGCGGAAGAAGATGGATGGATGGATGGATGGATGGAAAATGTATATAAAGAAGAAATACGTCCCATAATCACTTACAAAGTAAATGTATTCACGAGAACAATGACTGAACACAACAGCGTAACAGTACAGAACTGTGTTAGCGTGTTAGACAAAAAGTGTGTATGTGTGTGCCCTTGAGTGTGTGTGTGTGTGTGTGTGTGTTAGGGCTGTGCAATTAATCATATTTTAATCGCAATTACGATTTTGGCCTGCCACAATTACGAAAACAACATAATCGGAAAAAACGATTATTTTGCTTTGCTAGGTTGTGACAGTGCACCACAACATATTTGATCTAATGAATTTGTTAGTAATGTATAATTTATTTAATTAATTTTTGTATTGGTTTTTCAGTTGAATTATACGTTCAGGGTAATCAACAGTTAAACAGATACTGTTCAAATTATTATTTGTTTTAAAGTTAAATAAATGGATGTTTTCAAAGTCAATGAATAATCGTATTTAATAATCGTGATATTAATTATTGACCAACATAATCTTGATTATTGCCATAATCGAGCAGCCCTAGTGTGTGTGTGTGTGTGTGTGTGTGTGTGTGTGTGTGTGTGTGTGTGGCTATATTCAGAGCTCTGCTGCCTTGGCTACACTATTTCATCGTTGCTGTTGTATGATTGGTGTTTAGCTACGGTATTTAGCGTCTACAGCACATCCGCTTTTAGGGTTGACGTAGACCCAAACTTCGCCCGGAGGTCCCCCGGTGTTGTTGCGGGAGCTGCTGCATTAGCTGCTGCTGCACTAGCTAACGCTACATTAGCTGCTGCTGCACTAGCTAACGCTACATTAGCTGCTGCTGCACTAGCTAACGCTACATTAGCTGCTGCTGCACTAGCTAACGCTACATTAGCTGCTGCTGCACTAGCTAACGCTCCACTAGCTACCGCTGCACTAGCTAACGCTACATTAGCTGCTGCTGCACTAGCTAACGCTCCACTAGCTAACGCTACATTAGCTGCTGCTGCACTAGCTAACGCTCCACTAGCTAACGCTACATTAGCTGCTGCTGCACTAGCTAACGCTCCACTAGCTAACGCTACATTAGCTGCTGCTGCACTAGCTAACGCTCCACTAGCTAACACTCCACTAGCTAACGCTACATTAGCTGCTGCTGCACTAGCTAACGCTCCACTAGCTAACGCTACATTAGCTGCTGCTGCACTAGCTAACGCTCCACTAGCTAACGCTACATTAGCTGCTGCTGCACTAGCTAACGCTGCACTAGCTAACGCTACATTAGCTGCTGCTGCACTAGCTAACGCTCCACTAGCTAACGCTGCACTAGCTAACGCTACATTAGCTGCTGCTGCACTAGCTAACGCTCCACTAGCTAACGCTACATTAGCTGCTGCTGCACTAGCTAACGCTCCACTAGCTAACGCTACATTAGCTGCTGCTGCACTAGCTAACGCTCCACTAGCTAACGCTACATTAGCTGCTGCTGCACTAGCTAACGCTCCACTAGCTAACACTCCACTAGCTAACGCTACATTAGCTGCTGCTGCACTAGCTAACACTCCACCAGCTAACGCTGCATTAGCTGCTGCTGCACTAGCTAACGCTACATTAGCTGCTGCTGCACTAGCTAACGCTGCATTAGCTGCTGCTGCACTAGCTAACGCTACATTAGCAAAACAAACACTAATTTATTTTGCAAAAGGTGCAGCGGGCTTCAAACACGTTCCCTCCACTGGTTTCAACCAAGCACTAAATTAGATGTTTTCCAACCAAATACGGTTGAACTGACACTAACCCATATTTATTTGTAAGTAGATTCGAAGATAGGCTACATGAGCTGAAGCTTGGTTGCTAGGTTACTAGCTGGGTGCTCTCCAATAAGGGGCCGGGGGAAACAAAGTTAGTGATTACTGGTTCCATGTTGATTTAATTCAATACAAATTGTTGGGGGGAACTGAAAGGCTATTACCGCACTGGTTACTTTGCAGCCCGGACATTTCCCCCAAAACACATTTAGACGCTATCGCAACATAGAAGTACCTTTCAAATCCGATAATTTTTAAGACCTCCTGAATCATATTTAAGACCTTTTTAAGGCCTTAAATTCTGATTATCAAATGTAAGACTTTTTAAGACCCCGCGGGAACCCTGATTGTAACTTGTTTTAATTGTCTGAACTTCTCCCACCTCTGACAATAAATCCTGAGTGGTTACCAACAAAAAACCCTGCTCTGAAGGTTATTTTCATTTTACACATCCTGCACTCAGCTTTGCTTTCTCCAGTATCATTGAAAAGCAGCCGGATGCTGCTTCTTTTTTCGGTTTTCGCTCATTTCTTGACTTTTTCCGACGCGCTTGCATTTAAATCCGGCTCCCCGTCTCCCCGTCGCTCTGTGCAGCTGGCCTGTACCACTACACATGCTGTGCCCCCCACCCTTCTTTCACATAATGGTATGATCCTAGTGTGTCCTCGCATATGATTGGCCGCATGGTGGGCCAGCTAAATAAAGACCCGCCCCTGCCTGCAAGGATTCTCAGCAAGAGTAGGAGCGGCTGAAGATTCTGCTTTCCCCGACGGGAGTCTGCTCTTCTAGCGGCAGCTCGCGATCGGCGTGTTGGAGACCTCTGAATTAAAGTAGCAAGTCACCTCAAGTCAGAAGGCTCAAGTCCAAGTCAAGTCCCGAGTCATTGGTGTTCAAGTCCAAGTCGAGTCGCAAGTCTTTTGTGATGTTGTCAAGTCGAGTCTCAAGTCATAAAATGTGTGACTCGAGTCCAAGTCATGTGACTCGAGTCCACACCTCTGCTTGATGCTCACGCTAACCGCTAACTATATCCAATAGTAGCTGCTGTTAGCTGGCGAGCAGTGGTGAGTTCTATTATCTAATGCAGTGGTTCTCAACTGGTGGGTCGCGGACCCGTTTCCAGTGGGTCGCGGACCCGTTTCCAGTGGGTCGCGGATGTGTGAGTGAAGAAAAAAAATTGAAAAAAGAAAATTGAAATTCTTTTTTTTCTTTTTTGGGGAAAAAGTCAAACTTTTATTTTGAAGGCCCGATTTTCTAACGCTGTGCATGCAGCAGGCGTTGGACTGGAAGTACCGGAGACCATAAACGGTTTTGAAAACTTCTGTTTTAGTGATCATCTTCTCAATAAAACATCTTTGCTGATGTCGACCCTTACCCACAATTTAAAGTAAGTCACACAGACCCTCTCCTCGTTGCTCTTCTCTCTGTGAGGAGCAGCAAGCTGTCAGAACTAAGTGAAAAACAGACAATGGCATAAAATATTATTAATATGTCGGGTAGTAATAGATTTATTTGTTTTCTTCTCAGAGTGTACCAGAATGCGTAGTTTATATGTAAGTATTTCTAAAAATCCCCCCAGACCCCTCTGCTGGGGTTGGGTTTCCAGCATGTGCCTTTTTATGTTACACAGCTTTGATTCCATCATCTCATTAAACCTTTTTTTAAAGCATACTTTAGTTCTGTGAAGGGATATAAGCACTGTACTTCACTTTCATTCATAATGTTTGCTGAAAAGCGTATATAATATTACAGCACGATTTTTTGTTGAATAGATTGTGGTTCGAAATGTTGGGTAAAAAGTGGGTCCCGAGGCCTGACCGGTTGAGAACCACTGCTCTAATGTATACATCATCTATGAAACATTAAGATGGGTGTCTGTCGTTTCCTCCTCACTGCATCTGGGGAGTCCTGCAGCGTGGCGTCCATCTTGAACAGTTTCCTGCGTCCTCGTTTGGGTCTCTGCACCACCTCTTTCTCCACAGAGTGACCGCTCACCAGCCCCATGATGCTCTTAGCTGCACACACGCACACACACACACACACACACACACACACACACACACACACACACACACACACACACACACACACACACACACACACACACACACACACACACACACACACACACACACCACACACACACACACACACACACACACACACACACACACACACACACACACACACACACACACACACACACACACACACACACACACACACACACACACACACACACACGTGAATGTCTTCTTCCAACATGAGAGTAACATGAGAACAGAGGCATCCCAACTGTAGCTGTGTAAATGACAGGATGTGTGATTACCTAGAACAGGGGTTCCCAAAGTGGGGGTCGCGAGATGATTACATTTAAATAAAACAATGTTATCATTTTTTAAGAATGATTATTAATAATAACGTGTGCATAGACATGTTTTGGGGGCGGACTGGCCATCTGTATAATTTCCCCGCAGCGAGGCTCCCCCCGTTGATAATCCAGTAGCAGTGTTTCTCCATCGTTTTTCTAGAACAGATTACAAATCGCCAGAAAATGGTACAAACAAGTGGCAACATGTGTGACGAAGGTGTTGCGCTGGGCTACATCAAGCAATCAAAAGTTAAACTTAAGCTCGCTCCATTGCGGAGATATTCAAGCGGGAGTGCGGAAAACTTAAATTAATTTATTTATTCACTAGCTCAAGCCGGGGACCAGTGATTATTAACATTTTAGGTTTTTGGAAAAAGTCAGAATATTGAGAAAAAATATCAACTACTTCCATTCTTGAGACGATAATAAATACATGGGTCCTGAGATTGAAGCTCAAGCCGGGGAGCAGGGAGAGTTTTCTAACACAGATGAAATGAAACGGTACCTGTGCTGCCCAGGATGGAGGGAGAGCTGTGGATCAAATCTCCGATCTTCTTCAGAGCGCCGTCACACTTCTCCTTCACTGCAGAACTCTACACGCACACGCGCGCGCACACACACACACACACACACACACACACACACACACACACACACACACACACACACACACACACACACACACACACACACACACACACACACACACACACACACCACACACACACACACACACACACACACACACACACACACACACACACACACACACACACACACACACACACAATATTAGGATTGCACAATTTTGGAAAAATGTCCCAAAGTTGGGTTTTTGACCCCTGACCCATCACAGTCCCCCTGCTTCCACTGCTACTTATTTAATGTTTTACTTTATGGTTTGCTTTCATGCTTGTTTGTTTGTTCACCATGTAAAGCGGCCTTGGGTCAGAGTCCTGCATCGGGTTGGGTACCCGCAGGACTCGGCCTTGGGTCAGAGTCCTGCATCGGGTTGGGTACCCGCAGGACTCGGCCTTGGGTCAGAGTCCTGCATCGGGTTGGGTACCCGCAGGACTCGGCCTTGGGTCAGAGTCCTGCATCGGGTTGGGTACCCGCAGGACTCGGCCTTGGGTCAGAGTCCTGCATCGGGTTGGGTACCCGCAGGACTCGGCCTTGGGTCAGAGTCCTGCATCGGGTTGGGTACCCGCAGGACTCGGCCTTGGGTCAGAGTCCTGCATCGGGTTGGGTACCCGCAGGACTCGGCCTTGGGTCAGAGTCCTGCATCGGGTTGGGTACCCGCAGGACTCGGCCTTGGGTCAGAGTCCTGCATCGGGTTGGGTACCCGCAGGACTCGGCCTTGGGTCCCTTGAAAGGCGCTATACAAGTTTGATCTATTACTAAAAAAGTATCTTATCTAAAAAAATAACTGATTTCAATTTTATTATTTGCTTTTAGAGATGTCACGCCCCTTAGCCTATCACAGACAAGGTGTTGGAGCGCTAGCCAATAGTAGCGCAGGTGTTAAGTAGTGATGTCACTGTGTTCTGGAAGTGATGTTTTTTTCTCACCTGTTTGTTGGTCCGTGTGTTTCCTCTCCCTCTGTTCCTCTTGTTTTCACTGGACACCAGGTTCTGAAACACACACACACACATAACACCACACACACACACACACACACACACACACCACACACACACACACACAACACAAACCCACACACACACACACACACACACACACACACACACACACACACACACACACACACACACACACACACACACACACACCACACACACACACACACACACACACCACACACACACACAACACACACACACACACACACACACACACACACACACAAATATAGGGATTGCAGCAATTTGGAAAAATGTCCCAAAGTTGGGTTTTTGACCCCTGACCCTCACAGTCCCCCCTGCTTCCACTGCTACTTATTTAATGTTTTTACTTTATGGTTTTGCTTTCATGCTTGTTTGTTTGTTCACCATGTAAAGCGGCCTTGGGTCAGAAGTCGGCATCGGGTGGGGTACCCGCAGGACTCGGCCTTGGGTCAGAGGCCTTCATCGGTTGGGGACCCCAGGACTCGGCCTTGGGTCCAAAAAGTCATGCATCGGGTTGGGTACCCGCAGGACTCGGCCTTGGGTC